TCGTAAGCATTGATGACCAGCCGAAAAGTGCCCAACAACGACATATATGTATATATGCATACCCTCTTCCATATGCATATCTATATATTGAAAAACAGGCATCCCCAGACATATTATTGGGAAGATGGAATTCTTCGGAAGGCAGTAAACTTTATTACGTACATTTTCGAGACTAGTTCCCCAGCTCGTGTTCAAACAACGGACGTGCAAAAACAATTAACTTCCAGACCGATTCTGACAAAGGATTCTGTGATTGGTTAAAGTCCTCTTCTCGGGATTGGTTGAGTCAGTCTGAATCTCTTCTTAACGATTTTGTATGTGACATCGTAATCGATATGTCGATTGATGTATGCCCCCAGGAATACGCGACCTTTCCTTATTGGGTGGGTGCCAACAATGCGAGTGTTCTCCCATGCAAATTTGTGCCCAGTGGCCAGTATGTGCATAGCCATCTGGGATAGATTATCTCGTCTCTTCACTGCTAACTGATGCTTATGTATGCAGGTAGTGGCAGATTTCCCACTTTGACCTCAGTAGACGGCACCATAACTAGGACATGGGATTTTGTAGACAGCACCTTTTCTTCCGAGGTAGCCAACCCTGACCTTAGGCTGTACAAGCTATGTGCGTAAGGTAGTTGACGGCTGGTGTGAAACGTGTGTCTGGTACTTTTTTAATTGTCTTTAGATTAGTTCAGATATATTTTTCACGTGTGGGAGAGTTCGCCAGGCGTTGGTTTTGGTGCCCGAGTGGCCGTAGCATTGGAAATACCTTTTCCCTTGAATTGCTGGTGCCTCATGCATTGGCGTATAAAGTCATGCGGGTACCCATTTTGGGAGAACAGTTTGTGGAGGTATTTCATTTCTGCTCGATAACTTTTTTCATCAGAGCAATGGGTTTTGGCTCGATTCAGAAGGCTGTAAACTGTACTTCGTTTGAGATATGGTTCACTCGAAAATGTCATATATCCACATTGAACGTCTTGACTTTTGGTCGCTCGAAAACACGCTCCAATAGCGGCAACGTAAAATTATCTGAGAATATTTTAAATCAGATGATATTTGACGATCTAACGAGTACTTCGGAAAGTGTTATCGAATAAGCGTTTGGTGTTATTGGGGCAATAAGCTCAGAGAATTAGAAGTGGATAAAACGCAAGCGTTATATTCTTAATTGCGTATCTGTTATTGACGTTGCGCATTTGCTTTTGCAAAGTTGCGCTTTTGAGATACTTAGTCGCCCAACCTAAACCATTTGTTTGCTTAGCGGTGATGTCCCGACATTGGTTGTTTTCTTTTTTTGTTAGTTGTCAGCTTCATTTAGTTGCAAAAGGCGATACCAAGAGTATTCTGCCGTAAATGACATTCGATAGCTTCCCTGCTTTACATCGACGTAGAGGAAACTCAATATTTTAGAAGTTTCGGCAACCAACGCCGAGGTGGCGGTCACCGTTTTCATATTGAACAAGTTTTATTAAACGTCATTAGCAGCCTTGCCACGCCCTAGCATAGTCCACTGCGCAAAGAACTTGACTACAGTTCATGTATAAGTGTCTCAACTCAACAATACGTCTTTTATACATACACCCTTGCCTAATCCACCGCTAACTGTTCGTAAACAAATGCGATTACTTAGGTCGAAGATGAGTCCGATTCAGCCTTCTGACAGTAAATAAATAAAGGGTTTCTAAAAAAAACGTGCCCTCCACTGTCGCCTTCCACCACACCCCTTCACGAACACCAGGCATTTTCAACTACTCCCTGACTTTTTATCGAAGTTTTTAAAGCAAGTTTGCCAATATCCCTGCCTATGCATGGAATTTCTATTTCAACCGAAACAACGTGTCAACGAACTCCAACAAGTTCCCTTCGCGATGGCATTACCAGTAGAATCCTAGGCAAGGGTGGGGTTTGTAACCTCATTGAAGGGATCGAAGTTAGCCACAAACATAACGCCAACCACGACAATGCCTTCAATTGGAAATCGATAACCCGTAAGGGTTTAAAAACTCATACGTAACCGCAAGCTTGCTCTGATAAAACCCTAAAATCCTAGTCCTAGATTGAACCCCAAATCCAGAGCCTGGAGATACTAGTCCCAAAAGTAACCTAAACTATAACAAACGGGCAACTGGAGGTTAAAATCCTCTTCCTGTATAACTCTTTTAGCGACCTCCTACCAGGCAAACCGCTATGTAGCACATCTCAATAAGTAAACTAAGAAGGCAAGCTTTTGACCAGCCACCCAAGGGGTTAAATATCCTCCTTTACCGAACACTCATACAAATGCACTTGCCGTGTTAGAAAGCTCACCCGACTGCCAGTGTCTCCCTTGCGGGAATACGATGTGGATCTGGCCTATGGGTTTTATCTAGAAACGCAGCTAAAAAGCAGGAATACTCAGTATACCTGTCCGATATTTCCTTCCCCAACACCCAAATCCTCTTTGCACACATCGGAGGTTTTCTATGATAAAAAAGCTGGTAGGAGGGCGATCACCGATCGCGATACGGAACTCGCCTGCCCCGCTGTACCTTGGGACTCTTTCTCGAGTCCCGCCAACAGCGGCACAGTGCGCGTGATACATGAAGGCAGAAGAGCCTTATCGACTACGACCTTGGAGACTGGAATTGCCATTTCTGGTTTGCTAGCAGTCGCCAGTCAGTCATAGTCAACCCCAAAGCGTGGTACACATAGGGCTCGATCCTGCGAGCTGTTGTTTGGGCGTCCAATGCCCCTAACCATTGAGTCACGTGTCCATTGTCCTGTCGGTTACGATAGGGCATATACAATGACAGTAGGGCACTCATGTAACTCACCCCTCCCGACACTTAATCTATAAAAAACGATTTGAAGCATCCGATTCCTCTGTTCCGTGACTTATTCCACCTCCCTCAGAAACAGTTCACCCAACCGAGTTCCTTCGTCCTAAATGGTAATTCCTTGCGAAATAAGATGCCCTTGCCTCAGGATATGTTATGGCAACCGAGGCATGGGTAAAACCTTCCGCAGTGAACTCCGACCTATCTCATCTAAGCTCATCCAAAACGATCGTCAGGACAGCCGTGGTGAGCGAATATGCATATACATATATTAAGCAAATACTTGCATTTCTGCCGCTGGACCTCTCTCAATCTTCCCCGGTTAATCTCGCAAAACCTATTCCGAAATGCAAACAAAAGGATTGCATTTACTTAACCAAACAGTTCACTTACTTTGGGTCTTTGCTACCCTAAAGCGTATTTGTAAACTCTTAGAATGGGCTCTTGACAGAGTTTGGCCGCATGTATTAGCAAAAAAAATCCAATTTTTTCTGGTAATTTTATTGTGCACACTATCATGACATAATCCTCACCCTTTGAAGTACCCATCGGTGCCATGATCTCATATTCTACTGCGATTACTACTTTTGCTATTTTACTTGCAAATACTGGAATTTTCACTGTGCAAATTCAAGTGCTTTGTGTTATTACTTTATCGGAAATTAAGGAAAGCGGAACGATATTTTGCCGCCGATCCGCAAATTCAATTTCAAGTTTTGTCGATCAATAATCGACCTAGTCTATGGGCTGACTGGGTGCGAGCTTGCTTACGACCACTTTCGTGGTATTTACAATTAACGCAAAATCTACAAGCCCACGGCCCATTTAAAAGAGTGTAAAAAAGTTAACGTGAACTTTTTCATAGACCACCATCTGCCTCTTGTATGAGACGAACAAATACTCGCCATTTACACCGATTCCATGTTTTAGAGGAGACATTTTCTGGTACGCGCAGTTGCTGGTTTCTTTGTATTAGAATTGACTTTATTTCGCTTATAACTTACCTTTTTCCAGAAAAATGGTTATCCTACGAAAAGTTAGCGTAATTCGTATGTCTGACTGCAACTACACGTTAAAGTAGGATAAACGTGAATATTTTTTAAAGCAAAGATGTTAGACAATTGTTGTCATGAAGAACTCCCGGCAAAAATTCGCAATAAATTAAGGTAATACGGTCGGGACTTTGGTAGAAGACATGGACGGTTATTTTCACACCGGTATTCAGAATACCAAACTATTTCGTTAAGAATTTACTGAGGTGGAAAATCACCTCATTCTAGCGGTCATCTTGTATTGTAGTTTAACTGATGAAGCATTGAATTTCAGTGGCTCATGGAAAGTAATTTCGCTATTTAGGAAACGCCTTTATCGTCGTGCTGTCACGTACTTCATTACTGACTTGAGAGCTTCTTACCAATTACGCTAGAGCATAAGAGTTAAGAGTGAATTACTTTATCCACTACTAGAGGTACGTGCATTCTGACTAAAACAACCTCCGCAAGCTCACCAAACGCTTGTTTCTGCTAAATGCTGCCATTGTTTAGAATAGAGTAGAGTTTAGCTTGTCCAGTGCATTTATAAACTACTAAATGACCTCTGCAGCAGGTTCAGAAATGTGTTACTGCAGTAACAAATAACTAATATTTAATACAGTATAAAGAGTACTTATCTGACTGGGCAAACCTTTTCTCTGATGATTTCCGGATCTCATCTGGTCGCATATTTTAATGAAATCTCTCCTTTCCGCTTTAAACTGTATCAAGCACTGAAGGACATATATTGCGCTTTCCTACATCCCACCGAAGAAATGGTTAATTTCCGGTTTCCATTTGCTTTGAAATCATTGCCATCCCCATGTACACCTACTGTATTTGTTTGCAGTTGAATTTGAAAACGAGTTTTGAATATGAAAAACAAATGCATCCGCAAAAAATATATGCGGAAGCATCCTTCTTCTTCTTAATGAATTATGGAAATTGAGTAAATAAACCTCAACATGCTTTGAAATGCACAAGCAAAATTAGCCAGGTGGAACTCGTACTCTGAAAGAAGGAAGAAGTTTAGTTTTTGACAAAATTAACGTACAATAATTGAATATACACTTCTGTTTAACAAGTATCTGCAACTTTTCCTCGTATATGTCAATGACTGCGCAAACGAACTGAATTGCGATGTCGCAATGTTTGCCGATGACATAAAGATCTGGAGTACCATACGAAGCGAAGTTGACGAGGCGCGACTACAGACAAATGTGGACCACCTGGAGCAATGGTCGAAAGACTGGCTTCTACCGTTCAACGTAAACAAGTGTACTTTCCTACGCGTCGGCAGAACCAGTTCTCCTAACCACACGGTCTACCGTCTGATTGGCAAACCACTGCAAGAAGTCAACGCCCAGAAGGACTTGGATGTATGGATCACAACCTCGCTTAAGCCTTCGCTTCAATGTTCAAAGGTGGCCAAGTCGGCGATGTCCATGCTATACCTTGTCAAACGGGCGTTCACCTCCTTTGATGAAGGCTGCTTCGCCAAGGTCTTTCAAACTTTTGTGCGACCACATCTGGAGTTTGCTATCCAAGCATGACGACCCTGGACCGCTAAAGACTTGGGCATACTCGAAAAAGTTCAACGGCGAACAACGAAACTTGTATCTGGGCAGTGGTCACTACCCTACGAAACACGATTAGCTAATCTTGACCTCTTTCCTTTGAGTTACAGACAGCTACGTGGGGACCTGATGCAAGCTTTCCGCATCGTGCGCAATCAGGGCTGCTGTCTCGCGTTTGGAGACTTCTTCGAGTTGGCGACTACGACTAACCTGAGAGGCCATCCACTCAAACTGCGTGTGGCTGGTGCCCGGCAAGACACCCGAAAGTTCTTCTTCTCCAACAGAGTGGTTGCAGCTTGGAATGCCTTGTCTGAGGATGTTGTTATGTCGGGCTCGGTAGATACTTTTAAATGGAGACTAGATCAGCATTGTAGCGCGCACCACAATAACGCCGGACTACGGCCACCTTGACAGCCAACGCTGACAATTTAGTGTTATAACCATGCTACTACCAACATTTACGTAATATATGTTTATGCAATTTATTAAGCATAGACCACGTCGCACACCGCTGTTCCCATTCTCCACGATGCCTATAGACTAAACAATTTTACTTATTTTCCCGTATCTTAAGTATGCCTCAACTGTCCGCTGTATTTGATCAACAAAGCAAGTTAATGTGCCTCTAAACTCTGTTAACGCATGACATTCTGTGTTCATCTGTACAGTTTTTGCTATTCCCCTCGCATTTCTTTCATGTTACTTCCTCTCCATTTCCTCCATATATATCCTCTGCATGTAACCAATAGGGATTTCAAAGGTACACACCTACTTTCCCTGAAATATACTGATACTGAATAGATAATTAAGGACCTTATGAAAGCGCGTTAGCTTATTCCATCGGAATAATTAACTGAGACGACCTGTAAATTTCTTCAAATCTATCTTCTAACATAGTACCTATGTCCTGTATTAGAATAGCTTAAGTATGTGCAGGCAGGGTTTTTTTGCGACTCCTTTTAATGCATTTGCTCGCATATACAGAACATACATATAAAGAAACGTAAATCTAATGCTACAGATAGGTTACTATTGGGTACTCTTTTATAAATACTTGTCATATGAGCTCCACTTCAACTTACCTTTCGAGGGTGCTGACATCTAAAATAAAATATTTTGCATTACTTCCAGTTGCTGTCTAGCTGTTCATATCAACATTATCATTTTATGTGCCTATTAATAGGTTCCAGATGCTTCTGAAATTCAGTTGACCTCTATAAAAACACGCTTCTTAACCATAATCATGACTTCTGTGCTATTTGATATCAAAAAATGATTTCACTTATATTTTTAAAACAGGTTGATTTCAATTCTTCGTTGCGCAGATTCCCCAATTTATGGCTGGCAAGGCATCGAATTCCTTCTATGCGTGACAGAGCTTGAGATTTTATTTCATTTATTCGCCTTTATTTCTCTGCTTATGCAGACTTCTTCATCTAAAAGGGCATCTAAGCCATGGAGTAAGTTGCAAGAATGGTAATACCGACAAAGATGCCATTGTAAGTTGCGAGAGTTAAAGAGTGTACCGTGCTATAAAACACTCAGCACTTCACCAAGGCAGTGGAGAGGTCTGCCCCGCCATCATAAAATGTCCTACAAAGGCCACAAAGGAGCAATCATATCGGCGGAATGTTTGAAAGCAGAAATTAGTAAGATTACGAGTCAGTCTAATGTGCATCACAAACTAGTTTAGTCAGTCGTGTATTTGAAGCACAGACTGTAGTACCCCTCAGTATTTAAAGCGCATTTGGCCAACTTGTCAAAGTTAACATCTCCGACTCCAAATACTGATAACACTTATACTTGTGTTTGGTTTCTTCCGAGCTCCTAACACCACAGGACGTAAATGGACACGTCAGTTATGCCGTTGTACCATCTAGTTTACCGCTTTGTGACGAATAATCTGTCGGCGATATGTAGCAGCACCCGGATCTGGGATACCCCGTATTACTGGTGGTCTTGTGCTAGACTACAGGCTTAGTTGGATATGTGCCAGGATTAGTGCTAAAACCGGGGAAAAGGTATTCTCCCGAATTCGACTCTAGGCCTCCAAATATATGAGAGGCAAATACCCGGGTCCAACCGATAACTGTTACGTATTCAACTTAAGAGTCGTCATCAGCACGTGCTTCCTAAATGCCGGCTCCAGTGTGCTTAAGGTTTCTGCCGTTTATCAATAAGATCAATGAGTACTTAATGCCAACGTTCTATCCTCTTGGGCTACCCCGTTCGTCCTCAAACATCTGCTCGATTTCTGACTACTATCTGGCCACAGGAGTGCTTAAACTTTAAAAATAAACTAAAAATATTTTCCCTACCGAATTCTTACAAATATTTTCAAGGCAAATACAAACCTCCTAACGCATTTCAGTCTAATTAGTTACTTGCACTGCATATTCTGTTACATGTGACTCTGTAAACATCAAGAGATATTCGAGATTAAAACCCAAAAGCTTTACGAAAACTGAAGTTTATGCGCTAATTGTGAATCCACAAACGCTTTTTCCAGGGATATACGATCTTCGCATGTAAGGTAACAAGATGCTGAAGCAAATTTCGGAGAAAGTGATGGTTTAGGATGGATTGCTTTACATTTAAACATATGCAGTCTCATTAACGATTTTTGCGTCCCACTTGATATTTTTGTCAGTTTTGCAAATCAAATTACAGCTGTCAGTGAATCGATTCAAGTTTTCAAAGAAAAAAACGTACTCATGGCGCCGAAAAAGATGAAAGCTATTGGAAGAGAAATGCAAGGCTCAATGAAACTTAAAACTCAATTTAATTTAATTAGGTGGAACTACTAATTCCAAATTACAGGGACTTGTCGGGGATAGTTATTACAGCAATAGAAAGAGAAACAATTGTGTGGTTACTTTATGAAACAACTTATAGTTCTATCCGCAGAATATAAGGGATATTTCGAAATTTAGAAGCATCATATAATAAATTCTAAAAAGGATGTATTTCGTTTCACGGAGGGAAGAGCAAACTACAAACTTTTCCTCCTAATTTACAGACAAGGCTTTCACGGATGGCTTAGTGGCAGTAATTAGATAGTTTAGTTGAAACTCAAAGCTGCTGCGTCGTCTGCGATATTTTTTGATTGAGGTGCCGCGTTTGCATCGGCAATAACAGTAATCTAGAAAAGGATCTATTATTTTGTCGCTGAACTGTGAAAATACATTACAAAGCAATCCTAAAACCCAGTGAAGACGCTTAATATTGTTTCATATAGCAAGATTCACAATAGCAAAAATCGCTCACTGATTATGAACAGCACCAGAGAGCTGATACTAAAAAGGACTTTCAGTATTGGATTTGCAGTGAGCCCTCCCATCTTGGATTCTGCGGCAGTAGATTTCCAAATTTGTGTGTCTATTTATAGTATATGTCAGCGGTGCATACGTTTTTTTCGTGAAAATGTTAGTAGAAACGGGCGCATTTCTTAGGGTCACGCAACTGGCGCATTGAAGTCTTGTTAGCAGGTTGTTGCGTGTTTAATTCTGAAGACAAGGCTTCCTCCACTTGACCCCAATATCATGCACAAAAGGCGCATGAACTGCCTGGATTCTTCTGCAATGCTTGCTCGTAACAGCTTCCTCCAAGCCAGGCATATACCCTATTTCCTTACAAGTTATCCTCATGCATCTCATTTAGAGATTGCGTTTAAAGAGGCAGCGGATAAAGTTATTGTCTTATTATTACACTGAATCCAAAGATGTCCGATAAAGCCATTCCGTGCGCGGAATGTCTGTTGAAAACGGCAATAAAATGGTGGGAATTAGGTTTTACGTTTGTGTTCCAGCGGCGCTGAAAACTTGCGAGCCGTCCTTTTGGCTTCCACATGGACGGACTGGCTGGCTACTTATACTAGTGCTCCAGACTTTACAGCTGTTATCTGGGCCATTTTTATCCTGGGCAAGGTATTTCCACATCTCGCAGTTGATTTGTAGACCCTTGAGGAGGAGGGGCGGATGGCATCATGGTAGTGTCGCCCTCTTTCTTTTGTCGGCCAGCAACCGTCACGGCGTCTCCCTAGAAGGGTCGGTTGTGTGAGCGTCCATTACCTGTCCTCGCGATGTGGGCACACCAATGCACACATTCTTGTCTCAGCATGCCTACGGCTTGCTCCACGACTTCCATTTCGGTTATCCTCCTCTGCAATCTCTGATCTGATATTTCCCGAATACAGTTGAGACGAATGTAGTTCATTTTCCTGAATTGTTTGCAGTGGGCGATCCATGCCTTCGCCCCGTGCGGTAAGATCTCCACCAGGAATATCGTCCGTATATTTTGAATTTACTATCGAAGCGAGGTCCGAGACAGTTACAGGCCGAGGTCTACAGTCAAACGAATACCCTACTGGCTTTGGAGATTTTGATCGCATGGAGCGAGAAATGATGCATGAAATTCAACGTCAAAAGTGTGTAGCAATGCCCATAGTATCAGCAAGGCGAAGAAAGAATGCATCCTCACGAAATTATCTCCTGAGCAATCAACCACTTAAAACGGTAGATGTGCAAAAAGATTTCGGCGTGTTCATTAAAGACGATCCTAACTTCACCACGCAGTGTTCTAAAGTCGCAGCGCGGAAATGTCAGTCATGAGTGCGATACGACGAACGTTTGTTAACTTGAATGCATATGTCTCTGGCAAGGTAAATGGGCAGTTATTCGGCCGCACTTGGAATATGTGGTACAGGCTTGGCGGCCGTGGCTTCGGAAGGATATAGATATTCTCGAAGTTGTACAGCGGCGTGCTGCAATGGCTGCTCATTAACACCAAAAGTGTACGTACAATCAGCGCCTGACGGCCATGAACACCTATCCCCTTCACTACAGGCAGTACAGAGGTGACCTCATAGCAACGTTTTAGTTGCTAAATGGACTTGATCTGGATGTCGTTCGGGATACGCTTTTTGAAATGGCGTCCTAATCTTATCACAGACGACACGATTACCAGCTTAAAAAAGG